ACTGATTCATTTCTTTCAGAACTATTTATCTAAATCAGTAAATAAGATTATTTAAAAAAAAAATATTTAAAAACCCCATAGGAACACAGCTTCTAATTAGAAACATTACATTTTGATTTTGTTGTGGAAATGTGACATTCTGACCAACCAAATCAAGATATGGGGGTTGCAGTTTATTTAAACAGTAGTCCTGGATAGCTAGGACGTTTCCAGATGGGCTACTCGACATTCCTGCAACCAATAAATAAAAGGAGGACGACTGTTGGAATGCTAACATTTGCTCCAGAAAATTGCTCAAAGAGTTAAAGATAGGGATGATAAAAGCGGCTGCACCAGTTCTTGTCATGGTGCCAGAACTGAATGTTTACCCAGTGCTGCGTCCCCACCAGATGGAGCAGGAAAAAAAAAAATCAGAAAGTCTCTTTTCCCAACCCTTTTGCTACAAAGAAGGGTATAGCGAAGCAAAACAAATTATTTACATTGTAGAAACAGACCCATAAAGAGACATTCAAATAATCGCATGTAGGTTTCTTGGCGTTTATGTTAGCAGACATTTTTGGGGGAGCATCAGAAATCTAAACACTACCATGTTATTCCACAGTCCATCATTTTGCCTGTCACTGTATTTATAATTCATGCACTCCGGTCTTACAGCTTGTGCTGCAAGAGGGGCTCTGAATTGGGATGGCTGAACTTTGGGGTTGAACTATGTTTTATTTCTTGACCAAAGCCGCAAGTGTACAGCTCTGGAAGATGCTGAGTGTTCCCAGTGATGGATGCTTTGCGTGTCTTAGTAAATCCCCACTGCCTAGATCGGCAGCCTAATATTTGAGACCCAGCAGAACAGAGAGCAGGGTGGAAGTGCAGAAGTGAGGCAAGAGTGATGATAAAACAAGGTTGAAATCAAGAACCTTTGTGCACACTGTCTTGTGGAAACTGGGCACGAAGCAGGCTGTGTGGCCACAAATCACTGGGACAAGCACCAGAAAATGTTTTATCAGTCTTTTCCTTCCCTCCTTCCCCGGGACTGGAGGGAAGACTCTCTGCCGACCCTGAGGACTGGGTGGAGGATTAGCAGGCAAGGCCAAGGAATAGTTGGGCCAGAGCCAGGACGATGCATGTATCATGACTGACTTCTCTGGGTCTGAGGGGAGCTCTTGTTTGGGAAAGCATTTTTTTTTCAATAACTGCCCAAATTTCCATTGCTGGTGCATGTGGTCACACCAGCGGTCCCCATCTGACCCGCCCAGCACGCTTATGAGTAGCTTAACTCTTAATGACTCAACAACTCTTCTCACGTGCCCAGGACTGAGATTTGGGGTCTGGAAGAGGACGCTTGCACGGTGTGACAAAGCACAGGGATTTCTGAACCAGCACAGGCACCGCATCCCGTGCAGCCCTGATGGCTCAACGCTACGCGGGCTGCTGCTTCGCAATGTCCTAATCCTTCACCTCCTACAAATTGACTCAGTGTACGTGCTGCCAATACGTGCTATAAAACCCATAAGGTACTGAAATAACAGCCACTACACCAAGGCCGCTGCCCCTTCTGAGGCCACAGATTGTTTTCAGTACATTGGACTGACACCTCTAGATAAAAATAATGAAAATTAAAAATCCTTCTTCTTCCATCAGCTTCCCCATACACAGGCTAGGGTAACACTATAAGAACCACAGTCACAAGTTGATGAAGTTATAATAAACATAAGAAAAGTAAGAAATCCTTGATTATGCATAGGGAGATCAGGACGACAGCCAAAAATAAGTTGGGAATCCATCACTTCTTTTGTTTAAAGGTGCTTCTAAGTATGTATTGTGTCTGCTTCCTTGAAAGAAAGGGAAGAGTTGGCATAGATTTCTATAGGAGCAGAATATAATCTTTTAATGTTTTAAACCAGTCAATGTAGCCTATAAAAACTGAGATGCAGATCCTAATTAAAATGGGAAGCAGATTGGATAAACAAAATTTTGCCCTTGATGTGCTACTCAGACATTTCCAGACTTAACTGCATCTGGATGTCTACCATGATTTTTATCTATGAAAAAAAAAAAACCCAAAACAAAAAATACCAACAAAAAACTCGCACCTAAATAAGATGCAACGTATATGGCAAGACTGCTGCTTGGGGTGCTAAAGACAATCCGAAAGACTGTTTATTACAGCTAATAAAAGCCAAACTCAAAGTGCAAAGTATAATACCTTTCCCTTGATTTATTTTCAAAGATAATATGGATGCACATAATTTTAGACAAGTTTGCTTTCTTCAACATTTTGGCAGGCATTGCTTTCCTACAGAGGAGCGCTACTCATTTTGCACGTGTGTTTCTGGTTGAATTGTCTCTACATAAAATCCTTCTTTCTAAGCTTTATCAAACAAATACAAACTAACAGTCTAAAGGAATAGTTACATTAAGCAAAGAGCTGGACATGCCTGTGAGAGTTTCTTTTATAAATATTTAGCAGCTGCTCAAGAACATAATACTCAAAACACTCTTCTTGCCCACTTCAAGATTGTGTCATTGCCATCTTCCTGCTAGTATAGCCAGAACTACCTGACTTAATGAAGCAAGCACTGATTAGCAAAGGTCAGTGTGTTACCACCTTGATACCTGTCACATACCCATACCAGTAGCTTTTGTGATGTTTTGGATATTTTAAAAAATACATTTTTTAAAGACATTCTTCTGATAAGCTGCAACTCTTTTATAAAGGCTTCCTCCCATATAATATTTTTCCAACCTAGCTGCTAAATGTCTACAGAAGTACATGCGCATTCTGTGTATGATAATGTAATTTATAGTAATATAAAATTTGAGATGGAGCACGACAGATATCCTGGAGTCAGTAACTTGGTCCATTTGTTCCACATTATTGTGACAAACATGGCTATTTAAGAGATCTGCAATGAATTATACCCAGAGTATTCTTTACCATCTAGACTGCTTGAACTCAGTATGGCTAATTCAAATGTAACAGGGATCCCCTAGAATTTCTTAATAACGTAATAAACTACTTAAAGTATCTATTATGACTATGGTCCACATCCCGCTTCCATGAAATCAAGGGAAGTTCTGGCATTGACTTCTACTGAAGCTGGACACTTTCCTGTGATGATTTAATTTAGATAAATCATGACTAACATAGTTTTAAATACATTCTTTGATGGCAGGAATTAAGAATGAATCTTCAGTCTAATCAGAAGATATTATCTAACATTATTCACCAGGCTGGTTGAAAATGATACCAAATCACACTAACTGTGGATTAGTCAGATTGTGAATTTAAATACAGTAGAATAGTTAAATGTAGCTTAAAGTTACTACTGAATATCTGCTTCTGAACACTATGCCACTTCTGAACACTGACAGGAAGGAATAACAACTTGTGAGTTAATTCTTATAAGAACACAGCAAATTAAAAAAAAATCCCAGCCTCAAACAGTGTTTAATCAGCATATCTACATGTTTAAACATAGGAACTAATAAAATACACTGCTGTTCTCAGTCACTTATGGTAAAGGCCCCGTGCACAATTAAAGTCTCCCCTGGATTATCTCAAACAGAGATCTCCCAACACAAATAAATATTTTCATTTAGTATGGTTGGGTGAATCTCCTGGATTTCATATTTTTTAGGAACCAGTCTAGGAAAAGATTGTGCTCTTGTCAAACTCTTGGCTTACACATGGTGCTAGGTGTGGGGTACAACTGACTTCTTGCTCCCCTCCTCTTCCAAGGAGGACAGTAATTGTTGGCCATGTGATACCCCTTATCAGAGCAGTCTTCGGGTATTCTGTATGTCAAGCTAATAAATTCTGTACAGTCCTAACTGACTCCTGCCAACTTGGACTGGGAGAGTAAACAGACATAAAGGATCTGTTTTCCCTTACAAATCCAGCCCCAGCTTCTGAAGGAACATAAGGACGTTCAAGCCCAAGCAAGTCCAAGTCACAAGTGAGTAGTTTGCAGCCACAGAGTAATGGAAAGCCAGTGTAAAAAATACAAAGCATACAGCAGTTCTAGCCAAAGTACAAGACAAACGATACCTCAAGTCCTAAAACTGCATTTCGCAGCTTCAGCTGTGCTCAGACTGTGAAATACCTGAGCACTGCTGCAATGGGAAAATACAAGCCATAGATACTGTCACTGACACAAGATACTGCACACAATATGGCAGAAAACAAAATTGTATCCACTTGTCAACAAGTTGGGTTTGCTTCTATTTTTATTATTAGAAAGTAAGAACAAGTTCTGCAGTAAATAAAATCCATCAGGCCATGGGGGACTGGAGATCAGTCCAGAATATGATGCAGGAAGTCTTCATTACTAATATTCATACTAAAATCTGAAACCAAAATTTTGTGCTCAAACACCTCAAGTGAAAGTGTAATTAATCTTCATAATAAGAATTCATGTCCTGTTCTAAACTGAGGGAACTTGGGATACATTTGGGATTCTGGAGCAAACGTATGACTGGATGCTGAGTAGAGCAGAAAATTAAAATGTTGAAATGTAAATTATCATTACTTTTCCACGGTAAGATTTCTGTAAGATTAACTGAGTAGTCCATAGCTATTTTTCGGCCATTAATCGCATATTTCTGATGACAACACTATATTGGGTTTTACTGCCATTTACATTGTTTTTCAATTGTCACGTTTCGCTGTTTAAGACTGGGCACCATGCATGAGGCTGTTGTGACCTAAGTAGGACCACTTACTACTGCAGGGCAAAAACCAACCTAAATCTGTAGTGAGTCCTACTAATATCAGACAACTAGACGTTAAGGATAAAATCCTGATTTCCAGAAACCAAATTCCCTTCAACATTAGGTAAGTCCAGTTCTCCCTATGGAGTTCTAAACTGAAGTTTAGGTAGCAACCTCCATCCCCTAAAGCTTCAGACCACCATGAAATTTTTTTTTTTTTCCCCTCTATCTAGAATGCAATGTTCTCAAGTGACAAGAAGATTTCACCAGAAGAGACTGCCTGCTTGCTTTACCTGCATCAGCAGCTGTGATCAGCAGTACGTACTGCTCCTTTGCCTCCCGGTCCAGGCTCTGCACCAAGCGCAGCTCTCCGCTGGCCGAGAGAGTAAAGGCTCCTTCTTCATTTCCAGCCACCAGCACATACGTAAGCTTGCTGTTTAGGCCTTGATCATCATCCCTTGCTACAACCTACAAAAGCAATGCAAACAAGCAGGAAGAAATATCAAGAACTGATGAGTGCAGGGTCTATAAAATTTCATCGGGATAAAGCAAATGTTCTCTATGACAATAATCCAAATGAACGTATTGAATTAATCCAAATGCTTTAAGGGCCACTATAAATTAGCTGTAATTGTAAAAATGACTTGACACAGTGGTGATGGACTTAAAGCATAGTTTGAAAATATTAAATCATTGACTACTTATTTTTCTCAAGTATAAATACAGTAAAGACTGTGTTGGGGCTCAGTGCAAACCACAGATGATCTTGTATAGACTGAGCTCCATATCAAAGCAAGCATCGCATATCCTGCTGGCTGAATCCATTTAGTGCTCTGTCAATGTTTGGCACAGAGCCTCATCCCATGTAGGCAACGATCAGATTGAGAGAACTGTTGCATGAAAGTTGAGATTCAGATGAGAGAGAGAGAGTGCAAACTCTTAAAGTCCCAATGTAGGTAGAAAGATAAGGAAAACACAAACAAAACTCCAAGGTATAATACAAACTTTTGCTAAAAAACATGCACACACACCCCCCCCCAAAATAAACCAAAAGGAAAACAAGTCAACAACCACCACATGTTAGATTACAGCCAAGAGGCAACTTTTTAATTTTTCTTGTGCCTTTTTAATTTTGGAGGAAAGACACTATGCATTAATACCATATACTAAGGCATGCTAATAATTGTAGGAAATACATATTTATTTGCTGAATGTACTAACCTGAAGAATAACTTTTGGGAGTGTCTCTAAATTTTCAGGGACGTTCACAGAGTAGGGAGAAAGTTCAAATGTGGGGATATAATCATTGACATCCTTCAGAATAATACTGACTGTCGTGGTATCAGTCCTCGGGCTGCTCCCACGGTCAGCCGACTGAACAGTCAGGGTATAGGAGGGCTTTTTCTCTCTGTCCAAAGGCTTGGCAACTGTTATTACCCCCGTCACAGAATCGATCCGAAACTCGTTATTGGCATCTCCGCTCACGATGGCATAGCGGACCTGCCCATTTGTACCTTCATCTCCATCCGCAGCAAACACCTGGATTAAATCCGTCCCTGTCAAAGTATTTTCCCCCACCTCTACTTTATAAAGTTTCTGGGCAAAAAGTGGGTTATTGTCATTAATGTCCAGGACTATAACCACCACATCAGTAGATGAAGAAAGGGATGGTTGGCCCTTGTCTGTGGCTACCACAGTTAAGGTATAGTTGGACACGGCTTCTCTGTCGAGCTCCCCGGTAAGCCTCACTTCACCGTCGATAGTGCCGATGCTGAATTTGTTTCCCAGAGGTCGGAGCAGACTGTATTCGATGTAGCTGTTCGGACCGCTGTCGGGATCGGTTGCCTGCGCTTTGAACACAATCGTTTCTATCGGTGTGTTTTCCGGGACGTAGGTCAGCTTCGGGGAGATAAAACTTGGAGGGCTGTCGTTCACATCTAGCAGAATAATTGAAACTTGGGCTGTGCTTGTGTACCTGGAGGCCGGGAGACGGGCCATGTCATGGACTTGCACGACGAGGCTGTAGAAAGACTGGCTTTCCCGGTCCAAAGGTTGCCTGATGCTCAGCACCCCGCTGTTGTCGATGCTGAACTGCCCCGCGCTGTCCCCAGACGCGATGCTGAAGGAGAGCTGTGAGTTGGAGCCTGGTGGGGTGGGGAGAAGAAAGGTAGAGAGTGTGACTTCATCCCACCGATCTAGATATAAATGGTTCTGGCCTCATTTCCTATGGAAATAAGTCCTATGGAAACGAGGACTGTATGATCAGGCTGCCTGTTCAGCCTCCTCATCACCATTTTTGAATCCATCAGCTAACTTCAGCCAAATTTCACAGTGGAGCAGAAGCCTTTGAAATAATTAATTTCTGGTAAGAGTTGAAGAGAGAGAGGGGGAAGGCTGTTTATTGGAATGGCCGCAGAGGGAATGGCTGGGCGAGCCAAGCTGTTGCGTTCTTTCCGCA